CTGGCTCCTCTTGGGTACTCACAAAGCTCAATCTTGGGTTTCTGCCCTGGGGCAAGCTGGAAAGAATGAAGATCCAGCCAGCTGTGGACACAGGGGGCCAGATCCGCACCCTCCCCCCAACACACAGTCAACTATACTAAAACTGGCACAGTGCCTGGCAGGGAGTCTTCTTCATAATGGTTTGTTCTTGCTTGAGAGACAGGCAATCTTCCCCACATTTCCCAAGTTTTCCCCCCTGAGACAGTGCCAACCAAGAAGTTGGTGGTGTGCCTGGTCCCCATTGACCTTGCCAGTGGGTGACACTCTGCAAGTCAGACTGGGACACCTCCCTGCCTAACCTGACCCTTCTGTGAGTCTGCTGTGGAATGGTAGAGGATGTGCTGGACAGAGACAGAGGCCGGGTTTCGGTCCCAGCTCACTGCGGCTTTGTGGTTAGGATTCTGGCTGGATCTCACCCCCTTTCTGAGCCTGTTGCTCCAATTGTTTTATGAGGGTTCTTCAGGGAGTTCATGGAAAAGGTGTTTTAGGGGGAAATGATGCATGCATTTTTTTTAAAAAAATTGCACCAGAATGAACCTGTCTCTTAATTCCATTTCCATGCATTTAAAGAAGTCTCATATAAGGGTACTGGTTAATGTTGTTTGGGGGAGTAGCTCCCAAATCCCTCCTGGTGGCATAAATCTAACAGATATTTTCTTTCATATTTTAGGGGTCAGGAAGTTAAGGCAATGTTGAATATCTCTGTTTTACACTAGACCTTAGCCAAAAGAGAAGCTATGGACAGGTCATTTTAAGGTTTATTTTCATTTATTTGAAAGGCAGAGTGACAGAGAGGGAGGGAAGGAGAGACAGAGAAAGAGTGCTTTTATTCAGTGGTTCACTCCCTACATGCTCCCTACAACCAGAGCTGAGCCAGGCTGAAGCCAGGAGCTTCGAACTCTATCCAGGTCTCCCACATGGTGACAGGTGCCCAATCCATTTCCATGGCCATCTCCTGTTGCTTTTCTAGGCATGTTGGCAGAGAGCTGGATTGGAATTGGACTAGTCAGGACTGGAACTGGTGCTTCAATATGGGATGCCTTTATGCTGTGAAATGAGATATCAAATGAGGCTGCCAACATATAAAGATCAACTGAGCTAAATATTTTAACTTATTTAAAAGCAGAGACAGGGGTAGGGGGGTCTTTCATTCCTGATTCACTCTCCAAATACCTACACAACCTAGGGCTGAGCCAGGCTGAAGCCAGGAGCCTGGAACTCTATCCAGGTCTTCCGTATGGGTGTCAAAACTCAATTTGGGTTTTTTACATGACAGGGACCCAACTACTTGAACCATCACTTGTTCTCTTCCAGAGTATGAACTAGCAGAAAACTCAAATTGGAAAAAGTTAGGTCCCAGGTACAATGAGATGGGATGTGAGCATCTTAACGAGTGTCCTAAGAGCTATGCTAAATGCCTTTCCCCAGGAGAGATGTTTATATGGTGTGTTCATGTGGCTGGCAGTTGACACTGGCCTTGAACTCAGAGGCCACTCCAGGTTGTTCCTAGGCATTCACAAGCACACAGACTCTCCTGCATGGCAGTCTCATAGTGGCTGGCCCTTAGAACATGGCATGGCCCATCCCACACTACCCGGGACAGTCAATGTATGGCTATCACCATCTTCTGTTGGTGAGAGAAGGCATCGCTTCTCACACTCAAAAGGAGGGAAACAGACTCTGCTTCTAATGGGAAATGTGTTAAAGAGTTTGGGAATTTCTCTTTGAAAACAAAAACCCCAAAGTAAACATATTCTTGCCTGTAGTCCATGGAACCCTTTAGTCTTGGACCAAGTCCATATGACTGGAGCTGAGTGAGGCTGTGTGTCTGATTGGCAGGGGGAGGGATAAGGTCATCTCTTTCTGAGCATCCTTCTCCTGCCACAGGTACCTCCTCTCCCTTCCGTTCTTGGCTTCCTTGGGTGGTGACTGAAACTACCCTTTTTGTTTTTAAAGATTTATGTATTTTTATTGCAAAGTCAGATATACAGAGAGGAGGAGAGACAGAGAAGATGATCTTCTGCCCGATGGTTCACCCTCCAAGCTGCCACAATGGCTGGAGCTGCGCCAATCCAAAGCCAGGAGCCAGGAGCCTCTTCCAGGTCTCCCTCGCGGGTGCAGGGTCCCAAGGCTTTGGGCCCTTCTCGACTGCTTTCCCAGGCCACCAAGGAGCTGGATGGGAAGCAAGCTCTCTGGGATTAGAACCGGTGCCAATATGGAATCCCGGTGAAGAATGTAGAAAGAAATTAAATTTAAAAATAAGAAGTAAATTGCTCTTTGCTTTCTGCACTTCGCTTGCTGAGAATAGCTGAATAGGATGTCTTTGGTAAATGATTAGGTTCAATTGGGATTCAGGATACAAAATTCAACAGTGGCCCTGAGATAAGTATCTCAGGAAGAATCAAGGTAAAATAGTGAGGAGCCGAAAAGTCCCCGACTTCTTGGAGGAGGCTCCAAAGGTCTGAAAAAAGTAAACTCGGTCTGAGAAAAGCAAACTCACGGAAAATTGTGACAAGCAACTAAAAGAAACAGCAGTCTTATGATGTAATGGCCAGGAAAAAACAGCCCCTAACTTTATTGTTTTATGATTCTATTTGTATCCATTAGTAAGCTATTTTTCAAAATGCTGTATCTGTGATTTTGACCTATAAAAGCCATGTGGTGTAGCGACTTAGTACAGATGTGTCACCCTCCTGCGTGAGGAACTGGCCTCCGTCCCAGCGTGCTGGCATCTGAATAAATCCTCCTGCTTTTGCATCAAGCTTCGTCTTCGTTGATCATTGGGGAGACTCACTTTCTCGAGAGTCGGTAAGGCTGTCCTCACTTCGCGCGGCCTTACACCGGCACATTTAACGCGAGGACTTTAGCCATTAGGTTACCACATCAGGCCATGAAACTATTCTTTTTAAATAGCTCCAAGAATCAGGCTCATTAAATAGGTGTCAGGGATCCTTGAGCTAGATTTTGGTTAGTTTGGATTAGTTTGGACTTTGGGGTTGAAGGTTTGATCCCCAAAGTCTGATATTAATACTATCAAGAATCCAAATATGGTATCTGGAGATGGGGCCTCTTAAAGGTTATGTTGGGTCATTGGATTGAGCCACATGACTGAGTTCTGGTGGCTTTCTAATACATTATATGTGCTTGTGGAGTTCCCTGCCACCTTGGGACTCTGCCAGCAAGAATGCCATCAGCAGAAGCCCAAGCAATGCAGCCACTTGATCTTACCTGTGAACTGCCAGACTCAGGGATCAATCTCCCTCCATCCTAAACAGTGTGTCTCAGGCATTTTGCTGTCATGAGAAGCTGATATACTCTCTGACTCACCTGGGTTTGCAAGAAAAAGGAAGTTACTATTTAAGGAGCACCAATTATGTTCCCATATTCAAAGAATTCAATCTTGCATTCCAATAGGTGTTACAGAGGGAGTTCCCTCCCCCACCTTTACAACATCTCAGGGAAGAGACTGCTCCTCCTTTTACAGACTAGAAAATAGAGGTCCAGAGGGTTAAATGGGTTTCCAAGATTGGTGACAGACTCACAATTCAAGCCACCTCACATCACCTGCCCCAGGGCTCACATGGAGCAGAAGCAGCTGTCTCCCAGCCTCCTGCATGGCTCTGCCACCCTCCTCCCTACTAGCTCCCTCTACCCACTGCCCAAGCTTGGTTTTTCTCATGTTTATTGATTGGTTGGTTGATTGGTTGGTTAGTTTTCATCTACTTGAAAGGCAAAATGACAGGCAGAGAGAAAGAAGATCTACACTCTACTAGTTCACTCCCCAAATGTTTATACTAGCCAGTGCCGGACCAGGCCAAACCCAGACACCCACAATTGCATCCAGGTCTCCCATGTGGCTGGCAGGAACTCAAGCATCAGGCTGTGATCTGCTAGCTGTCATGATGGATCAGCGGAGTTGGATCAGAAGCAGCAGTGACAGGCCTTGAACCAGCACTCTGAAAGTAGATGAGGACACTGCAAATATCAGCTCTGCCTGCTGTGCTGCAGCACCGCCAGGGCCCCAGAGTAGCCACTCTTGGCCCCATTGGAACTCCCATGTTGTGTGCACACCCCAGTTCTGGGTCTCTAGGCTGATGTTCTTTTAGGAGGAAGCGTTCACACAGATGCCAATGATGGGTGATGAAGATCTCAGAACTCCTGGATAAGCCTGTCACATGGGCAGCCCCTCCCATCTACAAGCTCACCTGTTGGTTCTGCCCTTTGTTCGGACAGAGGTTGCTGTGATCTTCAAGCTTGGATGGTGATGAGGCAGTGCCACTTTCCAGGCCTAGGCAGCTTCCCCCTCTGCTGACTTCCAGCAGTCTCTATTGGGACCCCGAGTCATCACTGAGAAGCCTGGCCACCAAGGATGAGCCATGAGGAGAGGCTGGTCATAGTGCCTACTGAACCCAGGCTTGCTGTCTTACTTGCTGCTGAGTGTTGAGGGATCCTGCCTCAGGTCTTCCAGACTGGTAACCTCAGTTGCCCTGGAAGACTTGCTCCAACAAACCCTGCACAAACTCCCCACCTCTGACTGTGAAATGTGATCAAATAGTTGCTCTTCAGCTACTAAGACTTGGAGCTACCTGAGACACAGCAACAGCTCATGATCTATATTGTACAGACAAGGGCATTGACATTCGGGGGAATAATGTAGCTCACCCATGCTTTCCCAGGAAGCAGAGACAAAACTAGCCTCAAACTTAAACTTGAGAAGTCTGAATCCAGAGCTTCCTTGGACTGAAGACTTTGTTCTCCAGTAGCCCCATGCCCCACAACCTGTAGGTTCACTTTCTGTGGTTTCAGTTACCCATAGTCAATGATGGACTGAAAACGTTAAATGGAATATTCTAGAAACAAACAATTTATATGTTTTAAGTAAATTTTATTACCTTCCATGGCTACAACTGTTGTATTTCATCATGAGTTATTGTTTATCTCTCACTGTCCCTAACTTACAAATTCCATTTTCTCTACCTAAATGTATGTTTTGCAGAAATTTAGAAAAAAAAAACTGGCAATAGCAATGCCATGTTATAAGCCTTTAGGGCATTAATGACATTGAGGTTCCTGAAAATGGTTACAACAGATTTCTGCGATATGAAACATAATTCAAGACAGCCTTAAGCTCTGTAGTAACTAGTGCTGAGGACTTAATGTGATTTGTGGAGGTTAATAAGAAACTGTTCATTTTTTGTCAAGGGCTGTGGCAAAGAAGCCCAAGCTAAAGATGTCATTGAAGAATGCAAGAAATGAAAAATAAAAATTTGGCTCACACACAAAAATTCCAGCATATCACAGGTATGTGTATATAGCAAAAAACAGAGTATGTGGCAGGTGGCAATCTCCATGTTCCAGGCACCCCCAGAGGACTTGGATCTGCCATGGATGGAGGGGATGCTGTCCTGTCTTCCTGGGTCAGGGTGTTTCAACCACAAATGTCACCTTCAGCCAAAGGACTGAATGACCTGGAAGGAGGAATTTTTCCCACAGCAAGGCCCTCCTGTAGCTGGCATGAAGCCTCCCATGGAGCATTCTTAGCAAACGTTCAATGCACAAACTAATCCATCAAGGAAGAAACGAGGTTAAATGGGTTAAAACCTGGAGAGAAAGGTTTTTCACCACCTGCTGGCTGTTCCTGGAACAACACCTTGAATAGCTGCAGAAGAAAATCGAAGGTTTCTGTGTCTCAGACACAGCAGCATCACTCCAGATGCAGAGGAACTTCTCCAGGGGCGGGGCTTCTTATTTCTTCCAATGGGGATGAGGCAGGAAGAACAGCCCCCTCCTCCTCACACTGGCTTATTCTGTTCTTCATGTGCTGAGCATTCAGTGGGTGCCTAATAAATCCATGCTTGGGAATGAAGCTTGAGCAAACATGATCAGATCCTGTTGTCCACCTTGGCTTTCTACTTAAGGTTGCAAAAGAGATGCTGGCTTTCCGGCTCCTCGGCCCTGTGAAACCTTCTTCATTCCCAGCCCCACCTTGGGAGGCATGCTTCCATTCACCCCACCTATGCCCTGCTGACACAAGACGCTGGTATACCCTCCCAGTGGGCAGAGCTTCACTTTCCTCACCTGCAAAAGTCTAGCACCCGAAGAACATTGCAAAGATGGCAGGAGAGCTGTGTGAGGTTAGAACCGCCACACGTTTGCACATGGCTCACCTGGCTCAACACGAGTCTCCCCACCCGGGGCAAGTGGGGTGACACCCCAGCCAAGTGACTCACTGGCACCTGGTGCTGCCATCCTGGTGCTGCTCAGCCCCTGCCAGTACAGGCTTCACCCCAGAACTTCCTCCAGGAAGCAGGTAAGGAAGGCAAGGGGGACCGATAAGAACAGACACTTTATTGTACACCACAGTGAGGAAGAGAGGAAAGAGGGACCCCGGGGGTGACAGTGCCTTGTCCCCTCTCCTGGGCTGGGTGGCTCTGACAGCCCATGGAACACATGAACTTGACTGATCTGAACTTGTGCCAAAATCCCGAATGACGGCCTGGCCAGTGTATACAAAGCAGAGCTCATGATGAGAAAGGACCCCAGACCTTCTGCCCCCGACCCCGGTGAAGGAACGGCTGACCCCACGTGTGAGGGCTGCTCAGAGGCTCAGGCACAGCACAGCCTGCTCAGCCCTTCTTTCACAGTAGGGAGGATTCTGGAGGAGGTGAGCAGCTGGGTGAAGGGCATCTACCAACCCCACGCCTGGCAATTCTGCAGGCCTGCCTGGGGCCTCCAGGACCCCAGCCACAACCTAGGATGCAGGCTGACGCAGGGGGTGTCCCCTTGCATTAGCAAGGTAGTGGTCCCTGAAGGCTTATTGCTGGAAGGTGAAAGCCACCCTCCCTGGCACCACCTCTTGTGCCCCACTTGTCCAACCCCTGCCCCTGGGCCCTGCACGTCAGTTGCCTCTGTGGAGAGAGTGAAGGCCCCCATGAGCATGAAGCTGGTGATTGGGGCTGGAGGGTGGGCAGAGTCAGGTGAGAAGGGCCGGTGTACTCCCTCAGGCCCAGGGAGACACACAGCCTCCTGGTCAGCACTGCATGGGCAGCACCAAGGCCGGTGGAGCTGGGAGCCAGGGACAAGGACTTAGGGGGCTCGGCCAGCTCCTGACCTGCAGGGAACCAGATCTCGCTGTGTCAGGTGACCCCACCTGCCCTGCACTCCCCTAAGAAAAGGGCGTGGCAGTATCCAACCTGCAGCTGGGGGCAGCTGTTCCTATCTGCAGACAGAGGTGCTGGGAGAGGCCCTCAGCAAAGCCAGGGAGACCTGGGGACTCCCCAGAGAACAGCCCGAAGCATCCAGGGACTCCCCCACCTCCACCAAGGCCCTCCTTCCGGTTTTGGTGGCAGTGGGCACTTCCGGTAAAAGTCACTAGCCAGTGCTTCCCTGGTGGGATCCCTTGCCCTGAGGCCTCACCCCACACGACTGGGAGAATGGGGCAGGAAGGTGGTGAGCATGGGAACAAGGGGGGTCACCAATCAGCACCCTACACATAGCCACACTCACACGTGTACACACCATACACACACACGCATACGCACGCACCCCAAACTCTGGGCCCTACCACTAACACACAGCAAAGACACTGCCAGCACGGGACCCAGCCTACCTACAGTGAAGGCCACGGCAAGCAAGCAGGTGGCCCCAGCCCAGCCCCTCCTACAGGCTGGTGGCTGGGGCCAGGCCCAGCACATGCTACAAAATTAAAAATATATCAAATATACAATGAAAATAGATCTGTACAGCACTGAGGGTGAAAATATCCACCAGCCACAGTCTCATATTGAGTTTGTCATTTAACAGCATTTACACCCACATGTACAGATTGAATATACAATAGAAATAGAACATAGAGGGGAATATATATAGTAGAGTGTCTCTCCAGGGGCCTTGCTTCTTCTGTTTCTAATTCTGCTTGGGACTAGGCATTGGGCAGGAGGGAAGGTGTTATTAGGTGAGGGGACCCACATCAGATGTGTCCACAGAGCTCAACCCCTCGGGGAGATTTGGGAATTCTTCTCTTTCAAACACTCGGGAGGACAGGTGAGGTCAACAGGGCTGGGAGTCGGGGAGGGATGGGAAGTGAGAGGCTGGTGGGGAGAAGAACCCTCCTAGTTACATGGGAGGAGGGCCAGTGGATTCAGGGGTGAAAGAGGGGATCCTGGGCCTACCTGTCCCTCCTGGTGTTGACAGAAGTGAGGGGCACAACTGACCCTGTGCCCTTTGTACGTGTCCAGGCCTAGCTCTGTGGCCTGTTCCTGCCCTGCCCACCAGCGTTCTCTAAGACGGATTCAGCCTGCTACTCTCCTTTGCTTCCTTCTTTACTCTTTCTCTCCTTCCTTCCTTCCTCCCATCTGTACATCCATCCATCCAATACATCCATCTAACCAAGCTGCCATCTACATATTCATGCATGTATCCATTCACCCACCCATCTGTCCACTCACCCATCCATCTACCTATCCAGCAGTCTGTTCATTCTATCCATCCATCCATCTACCCAGTCATCCAGCCAACCATTTCCTCTGGAGTCAGGTTCTAAATCTTTCCAAGCACTCTTCAAGGACAACTCGGGGGAGGGGGAAGGGGGTGCTGAAAGTCCAGGAGACTGCCGTAGGCAGCAGTTCCCTGCAGGTGCCAGGCCTCAGGCTGGAAGTGGAGCCCTCCACCTGGGCAGCCTCCCACCTCACAGCACTGCCTGGAGCAGTGCTCAGCCTAGGCAGGGAGGGGTGGCAAATGTCCCCAACATGCTTGCGCATTACGCACACACCAGGCTGGTTGTGCTTGTGCAACAAAAAGAGTGAGCAGTGGCCCCAATGATCCTTTTACCAGGAGCGAGGCTTCCTGGGAGGAGCCCCTGGACTCCAGGACTGCTCCACCCAGGGGAAGCTGCCCGCCAGAAAGGAATTAGGGCACAAGTGGGGGCAGGGGGCATGTGCTTCACAGTTGTGTGCTGCAAACCATCTGAATGTGCTGGGAACTATCGTGTTGTGCTCTGGATATTCTGTGCTCCAGGCTTGGGGAAGGGGGAAGGGAGGAGGTGGAGCTGCAAGCAAAGTTGGTAAGAACTGCAAAGGAGCCCCTGTGAGGCCGGGCTGGAGGAACCCCCTCTCCCTGCTGCCAGGGCTCATGCTCAAGCCAGAGGGTGCTAGCTACTCACAGAACAGAACCTGGTTTCTGCACATTCGCTATTAAATCAAAGCCCCGCACCATGGCATGCCCGTTCCCATCCGTGGCCAAGGGGCAAGTCAACCAGGTTATGGGCTGCATGACAGATCCCATCTCATCCCCAGATGACATCTACTTCCCCCGACCCAGTGCCCCTCAGCATCATCCCCACTGAGACCTGAGAGCTACAGGTGGCAGGGAGAGAGAATGGTGTGGCTCCCCCTTCTCCCGTGGCCACTGAGAGTTCCCCCATTCTTGAAATGAGGACTTCCAACTGCTCCCCCTCGCTTGGCTATGATTTGGGTGGAGGCCCCCAGTGGGTCAGACAGATTAGGGGCCTGGACAAGGATGAAGCTGCTCCCGCCTGTACCCTGCCCCAGTTCAGGACCAGGGGAGCTGGGGTGGGCAGCAAGGCAGGATGGCCCCTCTCTCCTGGGGCAGAGGACCTGATGCGCACATTGGAGGAAGAGACCAGGCCCCACACAAGTACGCAGTTTGAGCAGGAGGTGAAGGGAGAGGCAGTGGGGGCAGGATGGGGTAGTGGTCACAGCTCTGATTCAGGGGTGCCAGCCAGGAGGTAACCACTCCCGTAGCGTCCATTGGGATTTCCACTGGTCTCCAGGGGCGATGCACCACCAGGTCCCAGGTAGGAACGGTGGGTGGGCATGGGGGAGGGTGCCTCGCTGGGCACCTTGCTGAGAATGAAGCGGGTCTCGTCGTTCTCCTCCAGGTTGGAGATGTCCTTCATCATGCGGCCCTTCTTGTAGGACACTGAGAGGGTGTTGGAGCCATCAGACAGCAGGTGGAAGTGCCGCAGCACGAATACCACGGGGATGGGCAGTGTGGCCACCACGATGAGGGTGACCAGCAGCGCCATGGCCCAGTTGGGGAAGTACAGGTAGCGCTCAGCCGCCTAGAGGTGAGGGGGCAAAGAGAGGGCTGCTGTCAGTGCTGTGCCTGCCTCCACCCTCCCAGCTCCTCCAGATCAGCCCCTCTCTGCCCCTACCCATGGCCGTTCCCTTCCTGCCATCCTGGCCAGGCACCAGCAGAGATGGCAACCATCAGAGAGGACACTGGAGTTTAGCTGCTCACCTTCTCAACCTACACCAGTACACTGGGCAACCTCTCTCTTTTTCTGTCTCAGAATATGACTTAGAAAGATTGGATACATGTATCAATCTTTCTGAGCCCCAGTGCCCTATAGCAGGAATGTCATCTCTCTCTTTGTTGTAAACATCACACATTAGGTGCACAAAGTGTCTGGCAGAACCTGTCACCTAGCAGTTGTCCTGCCCTTGCCTCTGTCACACTGAGGCTTGAGCAGCTGCCAGTCAGCCCCCCCAACCCCAGAGCCTCTGCGGCCCCACTCTTCACCTCCTCCTTGATCCAGGCGCTATAGCCAGGAGGCGTGAGCCCCAGCTGGATGATGCTGGCCGTGGTCAGCACAGCCATGCAGAGGGGAGACACGAACTTCCACATGTAGTAATAGAAGCGGTAGGGTCGGAAGCCCAGCATCTCTGTCAGCTCCTGCATGAACCTGCCAGGCATAGCAGAGAAACCCACAATTGCAACCTGTTCGACTGCACCTGCCTCCTAGTTCCCCCACAGCCACGTCCTCCAGGGAGCAGCCACTCTCTCCCAGCCTCTTCTTCACAGTCGAGTTGTGTGACCTGGCTGGCCCCTGGGAAGCCTCTGCTGACCTCCCTTATGACTACATCACACTGCACACCACCCAGAGACGGAGCACAGCCAGAACAACACACCCTGGCAGGTGGACAGGCTTGCTCCGCTGACTTGGGTTGAGTCTCCCCCTGCTGGAGAATAGGTAGAAGTGCACTTTCCAAGTCTCCAATGACAAAGGCTGCCCTGCCTGACTCAGGGGTTAGGGGTCTTTCCTAAGAATTCCTGGGGGAAGGCAGCTGTGCAAGTGAAGGGCAAAGGATTAAAATTAACTTCAGTGACACCTAACTGAAATGTAACATCCCTTTCCATCCCAAACATAGAGTACATGGGAGTACTGCATCTGTGATTTTGTCACCAACAGATTGAATTGCAGATCTTTCCAAATTATATGAGAATTGTTGAGTACCTAAAGACGTCATTTATGTTCACTATGACTTCGAAATTCCATAGATCGGGGCTGACACGGTGACACAGCAGTCTCATCCTCCACCTGTGGCACCAGCATCCCATCTGAGCACCACCAGTTCCAGTTCCAGCTGCTCCACTTCCCATCAAACTCCCTACTAAAAATCTGGAGAGGCTGGAGGAGAGGCCAAGGCCGAACACCCTGCAGCCACGTGGGAGACTGGGACCGGACCAGCCTGCTCTAGTTGTGGCCATTTGCAGGGAGGTGGGTGTGGACCAGTGCATAAAAAATCTCTGTACCTTTCCTTCCTTTTCTGTAACTCTTTCAAGCAAAATAAATGAATTTTTATATGTGTATAAAGAGGATCTTCCACAGGTCCACAGCTATGCCTTCAGGTCCTTCTGCCTTCCCATGTTTTAACCAGCATTTTGCTGTGTGTCCTCTGATTCTTAAACCAGCTCTAGGTTACCTGAGGCCCCATAAATAAATCTTTTTTAAAAAATTTGTGAATTGAAAATAAAATCGTGAATTGAGGGGCTGGTGTGGTGGCATAGCAATATTAAACCTCCACCAGTGGGTGCTGGCATCCCATATGGGTACCAGTTCGTGTCCCGGTTGCTCCACACCCATTCAGCTCCCTGTTGAAGACCTGGGAAAGCAGCAGAGAATGGCTAAAGTCCTTAGGCCCCTGAACCCGTACTGGAGACTCAAAAGGAGCTCCTGGCTTCAGATCAGCTCACGTTCGGCTGCTGTGGCCATTTGAAAAATGAAGAGCTCTCTCTCTCACACACACACATCTTTTCTCTCTGTCACTCTGTCTTTCAAATTAAAAAAAAAAAACCTGAAATCCTTGCATTTTTCTTTTTTAAACAAAATTGCAAACTGAGTTGTTGAAGTCCACCAGATTCCCCTGTGCACCTGCCAAGTATTTATCAAGTGCTTCAGAACTCTGCAGAGAGCTGGCATCCGGGGCAGGTGCAGCTATTTACAGCAGTTTGGGCTGATGCCAGAGCTGGAACCCAAAGTTCCTAGGGCCCCCACTGGCCTTGACCAGTCATGTCCTCACTCTGTGCCTCAGTTTCCCCAAATAACCTCCAAGGGCACTCTGGGCCAGGCTACTTTGGTTCTTTGGTTCTTTGGTCACCTGCCCCCTTCGCAGGCAGCCCTGGGAACACCTGGCTCTCCAGGGAGTCCTCATGAGCCAGACCCCTTCTCCTGCCCTCCCCCTCCCCCTGCACCCCTTACTTTTTGGTGCCATAGATCCAGGCCACAGCGATGTTCTCCAGGATGACGATGACAGTAAGCGGCAGGGTAGCCGAGTAGTCGTCAAACATGGTGACAAAGTAGTTTCCAGAGCGCTGGACGAACAACAGCCCCACGAAGAATGCAAAGACACAGCAGCCCACTACAGAGAGCCGGGGAGGCCGGTGTAGGGGCAAAGGTGTGGGGTGGGTGGGGCCCCGGGGGAGTGTGGGGACACCCAGGCCCTCCCAGCACCTCTCCTCAAGCAGGCCTGCAGCTCTCCTCCCACCACGCCCAGCAGCCCAGGCCTGTGTGAGGTCTCCCAGGGGGCTGGGCAGAGAACATCATGAAGAAGACACTGTCCCCACTGTTCCCCCTAAACATGGTGCCTGGCAGCAACAGGTGCCCACTGACCTGCTGTGTTTCATTTCAGTGATTCAAACGGTGGTTTCCAGTCATGTTCTCCACAAGGGTGTCCCCATTTGAGAACAGGAAGACAGTACCTGACAGGTCAGAGGCAGCCCCACCTGGTGCCCAGCTCAACTGCGGTGGGCACAGCCCAACTTGGTAGTGACACAGGTGCAATGCTGGTGCTGAGATAAGGCACCGTGCCCCGGATGCTCAGCAGGCCTTTGGAGAGAGAGGGCCGAGGGACCCTGGACAAAGCCCAGTGTCCTGGCTCAGGGTCCCACATGGCTTTTTCCATCTGGCTTTCCCGGGTTCGTGCTGAGCGGCACAACCAGTTCCAGGGGTAGCTCAGTCAGAGCCCAGTCTTCCTAAGATAAGGGCCAGAGCCTGGCTGTCGCTCACAGGGGGTGGTCTGCAGCAAAGGGTTACCTGTGAACATCTCCTTGGGCACCTTGAAGGTGTCGATGATGGGCGTGGTGATGCCTGCCATGGTCCCGATCATACTGCCCAGGCCTAGGTTGATGAGCATCAGGAAGAACATGACCGACCAGAATGGGGAGGCAGGGAAGTGCGTCATGGCCTCGGTGAAGGCGATGAAAGCCAGACCTGTTCCCTGCACGGACTGAGGCAGAGAGGGGGGCACTGTGAGGGCTCTTCCACTCCCCAGGAACCCTTGCTTCCTTCCCTCCACCCTCAGAGCCCCCAAATCATATTCCCTCTCCCATAGGAAGCCACACCTCCACTTGCATCCTCTAGATTTGGAGTGTGGGTCTCAAACATTAGTGGGTGCTGGAATCCCCTACTAGGGAGAGTATGACAGCATGAATTTAGAAGTCTCCCTGGGGAGCTGGCAGGCATTGCAACACAACAAGCTAAGCTGTAGCTTGTGATCCCAGCATTCCATCCTGTCCACTTTGAATCCAGCTTCTTGCTAATGACTTAGGAAATCTGTAGAAAATGGTCCAAGTACTCAGGACCCTACACCCATGTGGGAAACCTGGACAGAGCTCCTGGCTTCTGGCTGGGAGTGAATAAGCAGGTGGAAGACCTCTCTGTGTTTTTTTGACTTTCAAGTTAATCAATCAACCAATCAACCAACCAATCAATCAATCTTTAAACAAAGTAAAGAGTCTTCCTGGGGCACCTGGGAGTTGCAGGTTGCACAAAAGTTCCCAGGTGATTTGGAAACCTACCCAGCTCAAGACCTCCCTCCTCCATGATGTCTTCCTTGACTGCTGCAGCCACACAGGGCCCACTTCCTGCTCTGAAATTCTGAACTCCAGACCCCAAGGCAATGCTCCCAGGCAGATCCTGGATGGCTCCAATAACTGGGTTCCTATCACACACGTGGGGGATGTGCATGGAGTTCCTGGGTCCTGCCTTCTACTAGTCTCTGGGGGGATTTGGAAAGTGAACTAGTAGACGAGAGTGTGTGCTCGCTCTTTTCTCCACTTTTCAACTAAATCCATAAAATTAAACAAAGCATAATGCCCAGATCTCATCCCAAGCAGGCTGATTTGATTGCTGTAGGTCCTGGAGTTTTATAAAGCACAACCAAGGTAGAAAAACACTGGTTTAACACTCGGCCATCCTTCCTGGACCAGCTGCCCAACACAGCATCTACTGCTATTCTGTGATGCCACCAACTATGGGGACATGTGCCTCGGCTGGGTGAGGGTATAATTCTTATCCTTCAGATGCTGCTGAGGTTGTGCAATAGAAAAAAGCTGTTCCAATACCAGCTGTGTTTAAGGGATCCGGCCACATCTGTGAGAAGGAACAGGGATTTGTGGAACATGGAGGGGCCGGGCCTTGATGCTGTCAGTCACCCAGGAGAAGCAGCCAGGGCAGGGTTTTGCAGGATTGGCTCTCCTGCTCTTGACCTCCTGAGAAGGGGCAAAGGGATCAGGGTGCAGTGTCCTCAGCATGAGGACAGGGCCAGTTCTGAGTGATAAACCTGTAGCACGGTGTTCAGGGTTCAGCCCAAGGAAAGCACATTTTCTTGGTCCTGTGGAGAAGGCCAGGGCTGGCCCAGGCTGATACTTTAGAACTTTTTTAGGTGTGTTATTCCCTTCCTCTTGAAACTGTCTAGCCATGCAGTAAAAACAGCAGGTGGCCAAAGCTGGGCCTGGCTTGGACCAGGAGGTAGCACCTCCTGGCCCCAGCTCAGGGCGAAGAAGAGTCATTTTGGCAGTGGGTAAAACTAGGGACAGGAGCAAAAGCACCAAGGGGAACAAGACAGCCTGAACGTGAACCCTCCACCAGTAACTGAGATCAAACCCTTCAGTTACAGACCACTGGTGTATGCAACAGAAAGGGAACAATACTAACACTCAAATCACAGGGCCAGCTGTCAAGGGTGATTAAAAAAAAAAGTAGACTTTAATATCAACACTGAGACAAGTTGGGCCACATTCCAAACAAACTGTATAAGGCAGTGACAGGTGCACAGGAAGCCCATTCAGCAGAGGGGCATTCTTCTGTGACATGTGTGATGTGTGTGTTGGCCTTGTCTCTGCATTAAATTCGAGCCTACCTGAGGGCAGGGCTGCACTGGCACCTCACCTTCCTTTCTCTCCCCCTTCTGGAGACATAAAGCAGGTGCTTGCCTGGCAGGCAAACACAGGATTCCCTGTGGGCTTGTTCCCGCTGGCCACGGCCCGTCCTGGGAAGGGCAGTGTTGCCCCGTCCCCTCACCTTGTCCAGTTCATCTTCCAGAAGGCAGGGGTCCAGGCCCAGGGAGGAGAACTGGCCCTCCTTCACGGTCTTAATGACATTGTACATCTCGGCATAATCCTTGGTGGTCAGGTGAGAGAAGTTAACGTGGGGTGGGATGAGGTCTCGGCTCAGGACATTAGAGTTGAGGTACCCCAGGATTTTCTCAGCATTCCTGCAGCACCAAGAAGAACATGTGAGCCAAGAAGCCAGATGAGATAGATATTGGGTGTGAGGGTGAGCACAGGGCTGAGGGGGTGGCAGCTGAGACCCCAGAGGTACCTCCCAGAACCCCAGACAGGACCCTCATGGGTCATCTCTGAACTCATGGAGAACGCTCCCACACTCTCCAGTCCTCAGTCTTTGCGGAAGTCACTCTGCCCACTCCAGAGTAAGATGGCCAGGGAGTTGAGTTAAGGAGTGGGGAGGGAGGCCACTTACTCGACCACACACTTCTCATTCATGATGTTGGCCTTGAAGCCCAGCACAGCAAACACCACAAGGGTGGCCAACACCGAGGTGAAGAAGTTGATGAAGGACACCAAGGCAGCGTCAAAGTGGCAGTTGTTGTCTTGCTTGTTGTAGCTGGAGAAAGCGATGACACCACCAAAGCCCAGCCCCAGGGCAAAGAAGACCTGTGTGGCCGCCTCCCGCCACACCTGGGGGTCCAGCATCTTGTCCAGCTATGGGGCAGGACCAAGACGAGGCAGGGGAGAAAAGAGACACAGAGGTAACAGTTTTATCAAGGACAGTGGGGGGGGGGGGTCCAGCCACATCCCCTCCCTCAGCCTCCATGGGACCCAGAGGCAGTGTGGTAAGGCATCACTGTGTGACTTTCATGTTCCTCTAACTCCTAGTCTGCATTTCCCCATTCAGAAGCTCAAATAATTAGAATGCCAGTTTCAGGGTGCTGAGGTGAGACCCAGGCAGAAGAAAACAAAGGCTAAATGCTCACATGGTGAGTTCTCTATTATTTTTCTTTTTTTTTTTTAAAGATTTATTTTTATTATTTTTTCATTGGAAAGGCGGATATACAGAGAGGAGAGACAGAGAGGAAGATCTTCCGTCCAATGATTCACTCCCCAAGTGAGCGCAACGGGCCGATACTATGCCGATCCGAAGCCAGGAGCCTCTTCCGGGTCTCCCACGCGGGTGCAGGGTCCTAAAGCTTTGGGCTGTCCTCGACTGCTTTCCCAGGCCACAGGCAGGGAGCTGGAAGGGAAGCGGGGCTGCCGGGATTAGAACCGGCGCCCACATGGGATCCCGGGCGTGCAAGGCGAGGACCTTTAACCACTTGCGCCACCGCGCCGGGCCCTCTATTATTTTTCAATGCTGCCGTTGCTGACCCCAGGAACACCATCAAGACCCTCACACATGGCTGTGTGGCACAGCTCTGGGGAGAGCCAATCACTGTGTTGTAAAAGGGGTCTCCAAGGGCCACACAGCAAGCTGTGTGTACAAATGAGAGAATGCAACATCCCTGACACCTCCCCTACCCAAAATGATAGCAAATACACACACTCACATACACACACCACACACATACACACACACCACATGTATATACACATTATATATTCATCACATATACACATTACACATACACACACCATACATGTATACACACATCACATACACACTTTATATATACACGCCACATACACACACATATACACACACCACACACCTTCCCCCTCCTGCTTGCCTGAGCTCTCCCTTCTTGGGCCAGAAAGACCCACAATTCATTACTACACAGCCACACTCTCCAGTTCATGGAATGCTCCCTCCCACACTAGCTGAAAGCACAGAACCTAAACAGCTCCCGGGAAGAGGCAGCACCTGCCCCCACTGCCCTCAAACCTGATGACAGCCTAAGTCACAGCAGCATGTGCAGTGCTGGCACTGTTCCCCTGAGCCCTTCTGCACCCATTTCCCTTGTGACGTTGGTTCCTGGAAGGGAGCACGAGGGGGCAACTGGGTGCCAGTACTTTGGGAGAGGGGGATGTTGGCTAATGACCTGCAAACAGATACTAAGTTGCAGGAGTGAACAGTACAGCCAACATCAGGCACACAGGGCCCAATGAGGAGAGGCCATATGAGCGAGTCAGAAGGTCGGAGGGCTTCTAGAGGGAGCACCCTGGAGTGGCTTCTGCCAGGTGATGGAAACCAGGCCCACAGGGAGGAAAAACATTGGGAAGTGAAAGAGGTCAGGAAGGCTGCAGCAGCCCGGTGGGGGTGGGGCGGGGAGGCAGAGGGAAGCCAGCACAGGTGCTTGTCTTCACTCCAAAAGGGCACATCATCAGGAAACCCCCAGGGGTCTGAAGGAGGGGGGCGCACGTCAAAGGCACACTTCCTAAACAACAGAGATGCAGCAGGCCCTGGGAGGAAGGGCCTCCTATAGGCCAGGAATGCAGTGGTGAGGACTTTGCCCAGGTTCAGGCTGGTGCTGAGGGGCAGATTTAGCAGGAAAAACCAAAAAGGTCTTGGGGATGAACTGGAAGTGAGGGAGGCTGGAGAGCGATCAGCCAAGGTGAAAGCTACATTGCTGGGCTAGACAATGAGCAGGTGCCGAGGAGAAAGGTGAGAGAGGAACAGAGGTGTTGGGTGACAGGGAAAGATCAAGACATTCATTCTTAGGGCTGGCATCCAAGTGTAGTAGTAGACTGAGCCACCGCCTATGATACTGGCATCCCACAGGTGCCAGCTCATGTCCTGGCTGCTCCACTTCCCGTCCAGCCACTGCTTGTGGCCTGAGAAAGCAGTGGAGGATGGCCCAAAGCCATGGGACCCTGCACCCATGTGGGAGACCTGGAAAACACTCCTGACTTCTGGCTTTGGATTGGCTCAGCTCTGGCCATTGTGGCCATTTGAAGAATGAACCAGCAGACAGAAAATCTTTCTCTATGTCTCGGCTTCTCACTGTACATCTGCTTTTCCAATGAAAATAAACAAATCTTAAAAAAAAACAACAACTTTTTTTGGAAAAAGTAGGACTCAAACAGGAAACCTAACATGGGATGCTGGCATTGCAGGCAGCGGCTTAAGCTATGGCACCACAGCATCAGTCTCAAGGGTACACTTTTCCAAGGTAAGATAAAACACTGCCGTATTTACAACAGTAACACAGGCTCTGCTTCTTACATAAAGGCTGGCATTACAATCCAGGCTTTTGCTGCTGATTTTAGTTTGGAAAAGTGACCTGGGACATATGCCACCTGACTCTCTAACACCCCCAGAGGAGCTCGGGGCAGCCCCTTGTTATCAAGCGCCTTAGGATTCTGCTGTGGAATATCAATAGTCGCACCAGGTGCACCACACAACACTATAAATAGCTACACATCTGAGCAAGTCATTTTGGTTCCAAATGAGTTCTAGGGTAACATAAAAACCAAATCAAACCAATGTTATGTTTCAGGGTGGTTTGGATTTGGGTATTGTGGATAAGGAATCAGGAGCCTACAATGCAACACACAGAGATGAGGCGATTAGAGAAAAGGAGAATAATAATCATGGCCTTACTGGGGAACAAATTCTGTAACTCTCCCTCTGCCACCACCTAGAGGCTCCATACAAATGGGTGGAGGGCTGGGCCCAGCAAGATGGCTCAGTGATGTGATTAAATTCTTGCCTTGCCTGCACCGGAATCCCATATGGGCACCAGCTCGTATCCTGGCTGAAAGAGCTCCCTGTTTGGGGCCTGGGAAAACAGTAGTGATGGCACGAAGCCTTGGGACCTGGTACCCACATAGGAGACCTAGAAGAAGCTCGTGGCTCCTGGCGTGGATCGACTCAGCTATGGCCATTGCAACCACTTGGAGAGTAAACCAGTAGACGAGAGATCTTTCTCTCTGTATTTCCCTCTCACTGTAAATCTGTCTTTCCATGCCCAGTGCAATAGCCTACTGACTAAATCCTTGCCTTGCATGCACCAGGTTCCCATATGGGTGCCAGTTTATGTCCTGGCTGCTCCACTTCCCATCCAGCTCCCTGCTTGTGGTCTGGGAAAGCAATAGAGGACAACCCAGAGCCTTGGGATCCAAGTATGTGGGAGACCTGGAAAATATTCCTGGCTCCTGGCTTCGGATTGGCTCAGCTCTGTCTCCTCCTCTCTGTATATCTGCCTTTCCAATATAAATAAATAAACCTTTAAAAAACTTACAATCTGAGGCCCAGGATCCCATATGGGCACCGGTTCTAATCCCGGCAGCTCCACTTCCCATTCAGCTCCCTGCTCGTGGCCTGGGAAAGCAGTTGAGGATGGCCCAAAGCTTTGGGACCCTGCACCCATGTGGGAGACCCGGAAGAGGTTCCTGGCTTCAGATCGGCGCAGCACCAGCCGTTGCGCTCACTTGGGGAGTGAATCATTGGACGGAAGATCTTCCTCTCTGTCTCTCCTCTCTGTATATCTGACTTTGTAATAACAATAAATAAACCTTTTTAAAAAATTTACAATCTGCCTTTCCAATAAAAATAAGTAAATTTTTAAAGATTTATTTATATATTTTTAATTGCAAAGTAAGCTATACAGAGAGAAGGAGAGAAAGATCCTCCATACGATGATTCACTCTCCAAGTGACTGCAATGGACAGAGCTGCTCTGATCTGAAGCCAGGAACCTGCGTGGCTTTCCCACGCAGAGGCAGGGTCTCCAGACTTTGAGTCATCCTTAACTGCTTTCCCAGACCATAAGCAGGGAGCTGGATGGGAAGTGGGGCTGCCAGAATTAGAACTGGCACCCATATGGGATCCTGGCGCGTGTAAGGCAAGGACTTTAGTTGCTAGGCCACCACATTGGGTCCAAAAATAAACAAATCTTTAAAAGAAAAGGAAATGGGTTGAGGAAGGAGAAGGCATGCTGGCCATCACTGGTGCTCACAGATGCCAGTCACAACATGCCTAGCAGTCTGCTGGAACATGGCCTCTCCTCTCAGCCTGGAAACCAGGACATGGATGGACGGCTCTGAGCAGACAGGTGAGCTCCACCGGGGAGGGACCACAGGCACCGTGGGAAGGCAGGTTGAGACAGACGTGCTATGACCAAGTTCTCTGTGTGATGGAAGGGACGGCACCACTGCTCTGTGCTCTGAACACTGCAGGAGCAGCCACTCACTCTTCTCCAGACCCACCCTGGACCCTGGCCTGCCTGGCCTTGGCCCAGGCTGCTCCCTCCGCCCGAGGCTCTGCTCCTGTTCCCTTCCAGGAAGCGCCCCTTTTGTTGTCACAATACAGCAGACCATCACCTCCTCTTGGAGGCAGAGCCAGTCTCAGAGCTGGGTCTCACACCGCTCAGCGTCAGTACCCACGTCACAGGGATATGTGTCTCTCTTCCTTTCCATAGTATGCATGGAGTAGAGCTTCTGAACAGCAGCTGGCAGATGGGGAGAGGGTGGAGAGCTGGAGAGAGACAGTCACACGACAAAACTGGCCTGTTTTCTCAAGGTTGAGCCGAACAGGAAGGACCACACAATTGACTGTGAGGTGGTGGCTGCTAACGCTGGGCTAAAATGTGATCAATTAGAAACAGAAGATGACAGTTCTTCAAAGTTCAACTTTCTAAAATACTGTTGTTTTAATGCTGATCTCTCCTCTCCTCTCCTCTCCTCTCCTCTCCTCTCCTCTCCTCTCTTCTCTCCTCTCCTCTCCGTCTCCTTCTCCTCTCTTCTCCCCTCCCATCAGTACATTTT